GGGGGGCGAGCGCGAGCGGAGGGCGGGAGAATAGGCTGGGGTGCGGACTAGAATTGCCCCGCCCCGCCGCGGCCCCACCCTCCCGCATCAGCACGAGTTTGGGTGGGGGAGGGTGGGGACGCCGGTAAGCAGACTTTCCCTAAGCGCACGGGTTAGGGGGGCGCGGGCGGCAAGTGCGGCAACCCTCTGGGCGCCTCCAACTTTCCGAATTCCCAGCTGGCAAGCTGTGAGAGCTATATTTTCACCTTCAGTTCCTTAGTGCCCAAAAGGGAGTTACTCAGAGGTTTCTGGAAAAGCAGCTACATCCAGGGTAAACGCTGCTGCGATCTGCGGAAATGCACCTTTGTTCTATTGAGATGTTTTTTTTAAGAATCTACTTTTAAAAACTAATACATATGTATTAAATGTATAATACACGAATACGTTCTTGCGTATAATTTTACACAACACAGGAGTATCTAGAGTAAAAATGAGAGGACATATCGCACCCTCCCCGCAACGCTTTCGCTCCCCAGAGGTACCCTCAGGTCTGGGCGTGCTCCGCCGCGGTTCTTTCCAGCCCTTGCTCTGCGCGTTAATATGCACACGCACTTACTGCAAGTGGATTCCACTGGCTTTTTTTCAAAAAAAAAAAAAAAAAAAAGTTTCGGCATGCAGTGGATGCACACACCGACGAGAACACGGCCACATCCGCGGCGGTAAATCCCTGGAGGCTCCCGGAGCCCGGGGAAGGACCCTTGGTTGTTAAAATCTGTGAGACAGCAAAGAGCCACCCACTCGCCGTGTGCAGATCTGAAACCCCAGCTGGGGCGTGAAGTCAGCTTGGACACAGCTCACGCCCAAATTAGCATTGCACGGTTAGAGAAACTTGCCAGGACGTTTTAGACAGGGTGACGACCTTCCCATTCTTACAGAACAAACTGCTTTGAATTTTGATACGATAAGAATTCTCTGGTTTTGAAAAATAGAAAGGTGTTACCCACACTAAAGCATGATCATTATTTGTGCTTGTCGTCTGGGGGGATGTGGTTTTAACTGAATATTCTGGGTTTATTGGCCAAGTGTATTGTCATAAGCTATAGCTGGGATATAAATAAAATCCATGTGATTTAGCAGGAAGGGGGTTGGGTATTGGGAACGTTGGTTTCTGGTTCTGGCTTTGTCTATAATTAGCTCTGACCTTTGACAAGTCATTCAACATAGCTCGGCCTCAGTTTCCTCACCTATAGAGGAGTTGTACTAGAAGTTGTGTGTTTTCCAGCCCTAACCTTCACTGAATAACCCATTCTTCCCTTGTTCATCTTTTCTAGCTCAGCTCCAACATCATTTCCACAGGGAAACTCCCTCCGGTATGACTCTCCTAGAGACCTAGAAGCCTTTCCTTCCTAACATGAATCTCACTGTAATTACACATTCATTAGGGTGACCCTTCAATCAGTGTTGACCTCTCCCACTAGACTGTAAGTGCCACAAGGGCAGGAACTAGGACCTGGTGACACCATTGCATCCCAGCACTTGGCACAGTGCCTGGCATTCCACAAGAATCTCTGAATGATGATCTCTTTAAGATTTCTTACTGCCCTTCCTAACAACTTGGCATTTTCAAAAGATCTGTAAGTGGAAACACCTCATTTTAACATGAAGTCTTTGCAAAGTACCCAGCAGAGTTTTCCCATCTTGGGGGACAAACAGCCCACTGTCTAGGATAAGGACAGACAACTCTTAGCTCAACCACAGAGCTGTGGAGGGGGGCAGCAGCTATTTACCTTGATGAGTGTAGATGCCCACAGGGAAGACAACGAATATTAATGTTACTCATTAAGTACTTGATTAAGTTGGAACCATGCATAGGCAGTTGGAATACACACATGAGCACTCAGAGTTAAATGGGGCTGTGGGATGTGTTTAGGGTGCAAATTAGCAAATGTGCATGCTTTCAACCAATCTAGAAACACTTGTAAGAAAAAGCTCCAGGGAATCTTTGTCTTTTTTTATTGCTGACAGCCCGAATTCCGTAAGAATATGAACAAGAAATAGGCTCACCTTGGTACAAGACTTAAAAAAAAGGAGTCTGCTATTAAGAAGCAAGGTAGGGGAGTGAAGGTCTAGTGCAGTTCAAGACTAACATCTGCATCAGCTTCTCGCGAGTCCGATGTGCAGAGTTGTCAAGGGAGAGTGGAAGACCTGCCCTCACGTGTATAGAGGAAAGAAGGCAGAGAGCTGAGTTTTTACCCCTCCTTGGCCATTCTTTCCTTTCCTCCCTTTTGTGGGGAAATGTTCTCTCTCCTCACTCGCCTGATCCACACTCGAGGCCACTTCCAGAAACCCTCAATTAATGGGAAGAATGTTAACGCCACAGAGATGGGTGCTGTGTTGGTAGGGGCTGGTGGGGCTGCAACCTGGTATGAGGAGGTTCTTCTAAGTGCACCACACCCAGCACAGGGAAAGCCAGTGCTATGGGGTGTGGAGCAATGTGCTGTCTCTATCAAAATAGGGGTGGTGCCTGCAGGTGAGTGCACCTTCAGAAGGTGGCTCCATGGTGAAATTGACAAGGACTCCTACCCAGCTGACAAAACAATGCAAGAGGGAAGTGGTGTGACTCTTTGTAGGGCTGGCACTCAAGGCTGTCCCTTTGGGTTGGAGTTCCAGAATGACTCACATTAGATGCCACCCCCATTACATCTTTCTGGGTAAACTGAGTAAAACTCAAGGGCAGCTTAAAGGGTAAAGCAGGCCAGGAAATCTCACAGAAGCCTATTAATAGAAGGGACTGAGTGTCCCACCTTCGGCTTCACTGATTTGGGTGGGAGTGGGTGCTGGGGACTTGCTTGTTTTGCACCGACTGGAAGAAGCTGTGTTTCCCTCCAGCTTGAATGCCTCCCAGGGGTATTAAACAGTAACCACAACATTGTTGATTTCAGTGTGTGGTTGATAGGGAAGGAGGGAGAGTATTCCAAACGGGAATCCCATGAACAAAGGCACGGGGACAGGGAAAAGTGGGCATGTTGAATAAAGTGTGATTAAGTCTAGTAGTTGAAATGTGTGCACTGAAGAAGAGATATGTGATAGAGAAGGGAGGTTACGGCCATGTTACGGAGCGTCTTGGTTGCAGTGAGCAATAGGGAGCCACTGAAGGTTATGGAAATGCCTCGTAAGAAAGGCCTGGTGATCTACTTCCAAAAAATCAGCCACTGAAAACTCTGCGGAGCATAATCTACTCTGACACACATGAGTTCGCCATGAGTCAGAGTCAACTCCATAGCAATGAGTAAAAATCAATTCATTGTTTCTCTTTGACCTTCTTTCACAAATGCTAGTTGTTTACTATCTAATGGTAAGGACCATAATCAAGACAAAAGGTAAGTAGATTTTTGTTTGTTTGTTAAATAGGAACACTACCCACCTCTGAAATAGAAAGCAAAGAACACATTTCTTCATTGCTGTCTCATGAATTTGGACTACAGAATATGGTGACGAGGGAGCTGACTTTTCTGTCAGCTTTGACTGGGATTTGCTGGCTGGCTTAGACAGGAGATAGTTGGAGGCCTTGAGCAACCACAGTTGCAGGAGAACAGCTGCGATGTGGTCTGCGCTAATTCACAGGCCCCACAACAGCACCCACAGAAACCCCAAACTTGACAATTTCGAAGCTGGCACGCCACACTCCCTCGTGGTGACTTGGCAGGGAGGGCGAGGCTGCCTCTGGGAGTCTCATTGACTTCTTCAACTTGAGGCAGGATCAGTTGGGGTTTTATTTTGTTAGCATTTACCGAGCTTCTTCCCTGCCAGCGCGTACTACATCGGTTATAGGTGCTTCCTCAGTCCTCACCGCCACCCGTGAGGTAGGTGTGAGTATTCTCATTTTATAGGAAACTGAGGTTCAAAGAAGATAAGTGAGTTGATTAGTAAGTGGTGGAATTGGGATTGGAAAATGTCCACCTGAGTGCAAAGCCTTGCATTTTCCAGTAAGCGTGAGGCTCATTTTCCTTACCATCCTTTTCCCCACCTCTCCTGCTAGGCTTAAGCCAGACATCCCTAACCCCTCACTCTGGGGAGCACGATTGGGCCCCACTTTCTGCAGCACTGCCAATGCTAATGGAGTACTAAGTAATGCTGTCACTGCCAGTTAAAGGCACTCGGTGTCAACAGATCAGGCTTTGTTGGTAGGTTGTCTTTCTAGGGGGTTCTGGTCAGTCTCATGAACCGTGTGAGTACTCAGGTAGACACTGGATTCCCTTAACTATTTGAACAAGGGTCCCAGGAAGTAACTGAATCTCACTTGCTTCTGGAGATGTTGGAAGTTTGGGCCCTTTGGAAGGGAGCTCACTGGCTGATCTAAACCAATTCTCATACCTCATGCATGGAGGTCTTACTGATTTTGATTTCCAACTAACACACAGTTTAAAACACTCTCCCAGTACAGCACCAGCCATGAATTAGATGAATTCAGTCCATGAATTAGATGAATTCAGCTGTGGACAGGAGTGAGGAGACTCAAGGGTCTATCCATTTTCTGGGGGATCTGCTTGGCGGTGTCCAATAAATTTTTTTTAACAAAAGAGGCTATTGGTATTTAAAGACATACCGATCATATTGACGTGGTATATCATTTAGCATAAGGCTGGACAGCTATAACAAAGAGACCCAACAATAATATAACTTAAAGAATAAAAGAGTTTATGTATCTCTCATATTAACAGTTCAGAGTGAATTTTCCAGGCTTGTG